TTCATTCTCCAGCAAATCAAGGTCTTAACTTGAAAAAAAATAGCCACGGAAATGTTATTTATGGATACAGTCAATAAAGCATTTTTCCCCCTCCAACGGTACATTCATTACAAAAGCAGAAAGTCTTGTTTCAACTTGCACTAAATCTGTGCATCCCAGTTTCACAAGGCATAGGTTGTCTTTCAAGATACTGATGACAACTGATGAAAATTTCCACCAGAAGCTGTATCCAACCACGTAAGTGAAAGGATACACTGAAATGGATATATACTGCTGCCTGCAAACCAGAGACTCTTTACCTAAACATTTTCAGCTCTTTGGGTACTACTGTCCTTGGAAAAGTAACCATGCTATTTCTCATCAAGGACAACTCACACTATCTGATCATTATAAAATCATCCAGTTGAAAAAATGTATTTCACCTAATGAATAAATTTATTAAGAATATAAATAGAATTTTTTCACTGAGTTTCAAAAATACATGGAGTAAAATATGGAAATACATTTCTAATAACAAAGTTAAAATGCATGCTCTAGAAAAATAAGACTATTTGCATTGATTTTCTAACACCAAAATTTTATTCAAATAAATCAGAAAGCAGATAATGCAGCCGTTGAATCATTAATTACAGGAAGAAAGAAAAATAGTAATAGCACCTGTGAAGAACAGCCCATGTCTTCAAAAAATGTATAATGGAATCTAGATTCTCACAGAAATTTAAGTTCTGCATCTAGTCCAAACACTAGCAGTCTTCACTCTTTCCGTGATTTGGAAGTTATCTAGTAGACATCTTTCTTATTAATCTTCTACAATTTGAAAATTGCGTTTTTAAAACTCAAATTATTCAATCCATGGTTTGCAACAATATAACAATATTAAGTATGAAATTCCAAAAGGACACTGAGGATGAGACTGACAATGCTTAAAAAAAGGTGAAAAATATAAAATCAAGAGACATAAGCTCAAGACTCACTGTGATCCTACCAGAAAATCTAAATATTGCCATCTACTTCTCAGTAAATTATTATCCCATTTTACAGATGAAGAAATAATGTTTACCTTCTTTCTTGGAAGTTTTTGAGATGTACAGTCTGTATCTCTAGGGGAAAATATACCCACGTGATTTCTGCAAATTTTTTAATACATTTCGAGAAACAAGAGATTACAGAAGAGAAACAAGAGTGAATGTTTGACCTTGAGCTTGGATCTTAATAGTTCACATTCATGGTTCAGTCCCAAGTAACAAGTATTGTACATTACAGTAAGTCACTGAAACAGATTTTTCCAAGATAATGCCCCTATTCAGCAGCACGTAAGTAGAACAATTTATTTTGCTCTGCTTTACTGCTTCACCCACGCATTTGACATTAAGCTTCAGGCTTCCTGACTGAGCAGTGAACATGTAGGACATAATCAATGTTGTGCAGTTATGCATCACTTCCCACAGTCTTGCTGATTCAGGCATTTCAGAATAAACATGCATCAAGTTTTTGATCTAAAAACACAAGTTTGAAAACATATTTTTCAACTCTTGTTTAGCATTACTTGTCATCACTCCCTTAAAAACAAGTTTACTTTTACATGTTCCTGGTTTCTAAGTAACTTATACTATTTTGGTGCAAGTAAAACTCAAGATTCTTTACGATAAGAAAATGTCCAATGGATTAAAATCTCAAAAGATGCTAAAAATAATGCAGCAGTTTTCTTCCATAGATTTGTGACAGAACATGAGTCACAGTACTCTGCTCTCTGCATACCACATGCTCACACATACAGTGACATTACTGAGAAAGATTTGAAAACAAAAAGAATACTAAGACACAATTGTATAGGTCTATAATGAGAATTCTGGTTTACCTTGCTCATGTGCCTCCTACCTCTTAAAAAAAAATAAAGAGCCTCTCTCCCTCATGATATGCCTGCAGTCTCCCCTAAGTAATTTTCAGGCTTCAGTTTATGAAACAACCTCTGAAAATTTCCAAGCATCCAGGCTTACAGCTTTTCTACTTGCTAAATTACCTCTAGATTCAGAAATGAATTTATCAATATTAATTTTCCACTAAGACATAATAACAAGAATTACACTGTATTAAAAGGAATGAGAGTGAAGAAAAAGTATATAATAAATGTTGATTTTAACAAAATATGATCTTAGATATGAAAAATGCATCCCTCGAAGCTTGTTGTCAAATACATACAAAATGAAAGACTAATTCATAACACTATCAATTAAACCTCATTTATCATTTTATTATAACATTCAAAATGTTCAAAAAGTAAGAACAATTGCATTCACAGTGTTTTACACTGTAACTAACTCCAATGGAAGTTTCTCTAAGCTACAACTGCTGCAAATAGATGTTCCACAAGAAGCATCCAAGGATAATCCAGAAATGCACTTACAGCTCAAAAAAACATCAGGAAGCTGAATTTACAGAAAGGTAGTTTAAAAAATACATTTTAGAAATCATATGACAGCTCCATGAGATCCCTTCTAACATTCTAAAGTAAAACTGTAAAATGGAAATGCATAAAGAACAAAGTGAAATAGAAGTCACTGTACATAAGCAGAAACAAAATTACTGTCCCACATATGTAAAATGAAGGAAATAAGTACCTAACATAGCTCATTTCTCCATCACTAACAAAACTGAGAACAAATAAACTGACTGCAGCTTTGCACAACATAGAAAGTTCAGTCTGAAAGTTTGAATCAAAACCTCCTTCTTCTAGACTGCAGCTTTTGCTTCCTGGCTGCTTCAGAAATAGACTGAAGTTTATAAATTCTTTACATCCGATTCTAAAAATAATTTCTAATTAATATAGAAGCAGACTTCCTGATTTATAAATAAGTAATGTACTATTCCCAATTACTTTAAATTCCGTTAACAATTACGAAGTTTAACAATGGCCCTTCAGGTTTGTTGTCTTTATTCAAATGTTTATAAAGTATGCAATGATTCCTAAACAGCTTAGAATCAACTGAAGAACCCCTCTGTTGCTGAGATCTCTTCACAGAATTATTATAGAATGGTTTGGGTTGGAAGGGACCTTAAATATCATCCAGGTTTCAACCCCCTTTCCATGCATGAGGCAGGGACATTTTCCACCAGACCAGATTGCTCATAGCCCCATCCAGCCTGGCCTGGCAAGAAAAAGCTTGTTTTACAGTATTCCAGTATGGGAAAGGATTTTTGCTGTCTACTGATGAGTGAAATCATAGCCTATCTGCTAAGCATTAGCATAGCTCAGGGTAAAAGAGACCTCCTCAGATGGAGGGAAGGGGAAAAAAGGGGAACCCTCTTTTCAGTACTTCAGTGTGCCCATCACTGGCGTGTCAGAGCCAATAGCACAAGACTTGCACATTTGGCTTCCACGTCTCAGAGCAGCAATGCCAGACTGCACGCACCCATCACGCAGCACTGAGGCTCCTCTCCATACCCTGCAGTACCAACTCCTGAAGCCCCAACCCATAGGATGCTGCCAGGTCCCGACACTCAGCAGGAGATGATGGACAGCCCATTACTCAAGTGTCTGTCTGCTTCTGTGGTCCTTTCTCCTACCACATCCATCTGTGGCGATCAGACACAGAAGCCCCACACACTGGAAACACAGTACCACCACAAGACACTTGTCATCACACACACAGTAAGTCACATCTCGCATACAATGCCACAGATAATCTAAGGAATCTATAGAATATATTATAAAAAATCTTGAAATCTCACTATAAAGCTTCTGGAAATATCAGATTTCAAGGTACTATCTAAAGAACAACTGTTCAAAACCAGATAAACACATGTAACTAGTTCATGGAGTACTAAGCCTGAGGGTGAGAAGGAGGGAAAAAAGACAAGATGGATTAAACAAAGCAAGTCAGACAGATTATCAAGATCAAACAGATCACCCAAGTGAAAAGAATGAAGGGCCCATTGAAGGAAACAGCTGAACAGCCAGAACCTCTGCCTGAATAATGGGTTTGAAGTCGTAGGCACCAAACATGCCCCACATTCAGGCAACAAACCTGTGTCTCCTGATTGCCAACAGAAAGTTTTTAAAATGTTATACTTCATTTTTACCATAGAACAGATCTCTCACTGGGGTTCACCAAGCAGAGTGGAGGCTTTAGGAAAAAATTCTTTCATTTACAATAAAAATAGCCACAAACTAAGACATGTTGGTATAACCTCACTGTATTTATTTAGCATGAAACAGTTTATAAGCAATATTTTTTATTTCCTGACTCGTGAAAAGAAGACCCTAACCCTATACCTTTTTATGCTAACAGCTAAAGTGCAAAACTTATAAAAAAATATGTTTTTTACATTGTAATTAAACAACTTAAAACCTGTTAGATTAAGGTAAAAGCCATGATCTTAGTATCTCTGGGAAAGAAAGGGGGCAAAAAAAAGGATGGAAAAAATTGTTTTGGCCAAAAATAAAAGCCCCACCTAAAATCTGTACAATAAAGCCTTAGCTGTGGTCAAATTATTAATAGCTGCTTTTCCAAGCACTTGGAAAAGTGCTATTGCTATGCCTATTGACACAGCTTGCTCACTCACTCGTCCAGTGCATGACTGGGCAATCTTGTAAAGCTCTTCTTACTTTACCCTGTAAGTGCAGGGCGTCTTGCAAAAGCAACTGCATGGTCTAAGATCACCACAAACAACTATGTAACTCCAAGAGCTGCACCGTTAATTACAAAGAAACCAAAGAAAAGAATACATAAAAGGACAGCATTTATTGAAGAAGTATTTTTCCCCTGTTTCAACACAACCAATATAATTGCAAATGCCAACTAAAAAATTGGTCGACACCAGCTTTGAAGATCGGGGAAGGAAAGGACTCCAGCTCCCACGGGACTTGTATTTTCCATGGCCGTGTCCGTAGCTGATGGAGAGGGGAGGGAAGCTGGAGCCGGCGGCTCCCCACCCCGCGGAACACGAACCAGCGCACACGCCAGAAACACCCCGCGAAAACCTCGCGGAAGAAACTTCACCTCAGTTCAACAGCGAGAAGTTTGGCCAAGGCACTTGACGGACCCCTCGCACCCTCGCTTCAGTGACCCACCTCGCTCGGGCGAAACCCATTTATTGACAATCTCACCCCACGCGTCTCCCCCTCCTCGCCCGCGGCAGTGTCCAGCGGCTGCGGCCCCGGGCCCCAGCGAGGCAGCCCCCGCCCCTGAAGGGCGTCTCCGCACCAAACATCGAGCCCACCCTCCTAGAACCAAACTTTCCGCGACAGCACCGGAGCAAGACCCCGGCGCCAAGCGAACACCCACCTCCGCCGCCGCGGCCGGAGCCGCCGCCAAACGCTGCGAGGCGGCCGCCGCCCGGCACGGCCCGCTCCGCTCCGCTCCGCCCCGCTCCGCCGGAGCCCCGGCGGCAGCCCCGCTGCCAGGACACGTCACTCACCGCCGAGCTCGCACTGGCCGCCGGGCGGAGCTCCTGAGCGCCGGCGGCAGCCGCCCGGCCCGGCCCGGCCCGGCCCGGCCCCGCCTCGCTGCGGCCGCCGCTGCCGTCAGCGCCGCTCCCGGCGCCCGCCCCCGTTGGGTCGCAGCCGGCCCCGCCGGTCGGGCCGGGCTGAGCCGGGGCGGGGCGGGCACCTCGCGTCCCCCCGGACCCGCCGCATTCCTGGCGCCTCCCGTGACACCGCCCCGGGGCCGGAGCACATCCCGCCGCTCGCCCCGGGGCCCTGCTGGCGGGGCCAGCCCCGCGAGGCGTCCGCGCAACGGGCGGAGAGCGGAGTCCCCGGCTGCGGTCACCGGGAGGGCACCCGGTCTCGGGCTGGACAACTCGGCACACTCAGCCTCCTGCTCACGAATAGCTCCTGAACACGCCAGGGTACACGCTGGGCCACGGCGCTATTTTGGGTTCTAATCTCATTTATAACTTAAAATCCAGTTATAGTTTTCAAATTAAATGCTATCTAGAGACGCTGGCTCCTCATACCGATCATTTTTGCTGTTCGCATTCTTCTTGCGTGACAGTCCTCACAGCGAGCATCGCTGCAGACCCGCACTGACCAAGCCAACCACACAGCCAAGCATGGAATGCTTGTCCTGAGAGTAACACCAACCACGTGTACATTCAGGACTGACCGTGCCACTTAGTTAAAATACAGAAAAGCTTTACAAGATGCAATCATTTTGCAAATGTGTACCTTACAATATATCCACGTACACATCTGTCACACTTCAATAAAAATAAATGCTCGTAAGTACATTATAAATTCTTAAATAAATTATGACATTACAACTGTTTAATACTGTTAAGTAATATCTGAAATCTTTGAACCACTTTTAAGAATGAAATCTTCGAGCTAAATGCTGTTCAAAGATCCATGCGTCATCCAGCAGTGATCCTTGCCTATTTAAGTAAACTCATTCTACAGTGAGTAATAAAATACACTCAGTAAGTAGTAAATTCATTATCATTATAGGACAATGTTACTAGAAAATGGTGGCATTTGACGTTTGATTAATCTGCCTTTTCCCTACATTTTTCCTTGGTCTGTATTTTAACAACACAGATTCACAACTATCCACGTCTTTGTGTGGATTCATACAGTGTGAATCACAAATTTTTTTAAACTTTTTCCTTTCAAAAAATGTTTCTATTTTCACAACCTTATTTCTTTTTAGTGCAGTTCATTATGGCATTGCCTCAAAATAGCTTTCACATAACTCTGTAAGTTCTATGTAAGAAAACAAACAAGAAAATTGGGCCATAGTAAAAGTTAAGGCCAGGAATACCATTACGATGTTCAGTTCATATCAGGCACCACTCAGTTCCATCAGAGACCATTTTATCCTGTTGTTTTTGTAATTTTTAAAATATGTTGCATTTCACACCAAGCTATCATTTCAGGAGGTGAAATGGTGGGGAATCAATCTCTGGCAAACTGTTCAATAATTACATATCATTAGAAGCCACGTCAAAAAACAGACACATACCCAGACCAAGTACAACTACCTTGATTCTGTAATAAAAAAATGCAATTTACTAGCAATATCCCTCTCCTTTTGACACTTATCTCACAATCTATGTGCATTAAATTCTTCCTTTCATAATTACCTTTCACAGATTATCTTACCTTTCACAATTATCTTAGACAAAATTGAAATCCTTCTGTAAGTCTTTTTGTGAACCCTTTTGATCTTTGACAACTCCTTCTTTTGATTCTGGTGACCATACGTACATTCCAAGAAAAGGTTTCTGTGGAAACTTGGTTGGACAAATCCAACAATAGCAGATCAGTTGATCTAATAAGTTTTTATATTATTTTATATTATAAAATTTTATGAGTTTATAAAAAAGAAAAATTAACTTTCAAAATAACTTGCACTTTCCTACTATTTTATAAGACAGCAGCCTATTAGGAGTAATAATTAGCACCCTAATCATTGCAATCATAAATTCATTATGTATCCACCTATTGTTAATCATTGTTGTTGATAATTAGAGTACAGATAATGGCTGTTTCCACTGTTAACATAATGCTTTTTACTACCAGATTCCAAGAAGCTGATGTTTAAATTGGTTTTACTGACGATACTTGCATGAGACCTCACCAAAATTTATTTTCATTTCTGATTACTGGAGCTTCAGCAAAGATACTTTGCCTCCAAGCTACTGCACACAGATCATCTACCTCACACATCTTCACCACACATCTACACCATCCACCCACTGCAGCTCATGCTCCAGACATCTTTAGGACACCACCAGCCCTGGCCAGTGTCCTGGCCCCCTGTGGCACAATGCCATGAAGATGGGATGCCTTTTTTCTCCCTCCGTAGAAATTGGCATGGTTGAATGCCTAAATTTATGACACCTAAAATATAAGATATCATTCCAATAATGTGCTTTCCGAAATACCGCATGAAATCTGAACAGAACAACTAAAACTTGGGTTATCAAGTTCCCCAGCAAAGCCCAGTTTTCTCAGATTCTTCCATTTAACAGCTGATGTAGCTGGCACTTTTTCCTAGGGAGTACTCATCCACTGGAAATTGTTGTTCCCAGCTGTATCCCCATGAAGACAGAATATCATCTGCTTACTGTAATCCCTCAGAAACCACTCCAAGCCAGGACATCCAATGAGCTTGCCTTAACTCGAGCATCTGCAGAACACATGCTGGAGCCTTTAAAGTTACAAGTCCCCTATACTTTCCTTACCAAACCAGACCTGAGCGGCAATATTTTTTTTTTAATTTTTATTTTTATATATAATATATACAATAGATATTTAAAAAAATAAAAGCAAACCACAGTTTTCCTAAATTCAGACTATTACATCAAAAATAACATTTGGATTTATCAAAACACTGTTTATTCACATTCTGCTTTGATTCTTACTGCTGACTCATCTTCCACATCTTCTCGAAGCACCAGCACCACTACTGGGAGACAGTTCCTCGGTTCTGAGCACACCAGTACAGGTTAATCTGACAACTGAATTTTAAAATTCAATTATAATTGAATTTTATAATATTGTGATCTTTTACCAGCACTAGAACTTCTTCCATTAATGCATTTCATTTCACTCTTTTCCTTCTTTTATGAGGAGTATTTGCAAGTCAAATTCTCAGACTGGCAATTTACACAGACTAGATATAAATTTTCCTATATTTTATTATTTCTCAAGAGCAGAGCTCTTATTGTCATAGGTGGTACATAAGTGATAGTACAGCTGATGCCATAACTTCTTGTGATGGGTTTACCTTGGCCAAACCTTCACCCAGCTGCTCTCTCATTCTCTCATCAGCAGGATTGTGGGAGAAAATAAGATGGAAATCTTGTAGATCAAAATGAAGACAAGAAGATCCCTTAGCAACAACTGTCATGGGCCAAACAAATTCAACTTGGGGCAAATTCATTTTTTGCCAGTTATAAATGGGATAAAAGTAAAAAGACCCTCCCCCCTCTGTTCTTCCTTCTCACCAGGCTCAACATCACTCCATTTCCAACTCCTTGGCCTCCTTCACCCTGACGGGCACAGTGCGGTGGGAACCAGGGCTGTGGTCAGTCAATGACAGCTACTCTCATTTCTCCTCTGCTTTAGTGTGGGTGTTTCCCACAGGCTGCAGTCCTTCAGGATAAACCTGCTCCTTCAAGGGTTCCTCCATGGGCTGCAGGTGAATCTCTGCTCTGGTGCCCTGGAGCAGCTTCTCCCCCTCCTTCTGCACTGAACTTGGTGCTCGCAGAGCCATTTCTCTCACATTGTTCTCCTCACTCTTGTGCAGCATTTTTGCCCTTCTTTACGTACATTTCCCGGATGATGCCCCCGCCCCGGCCGTGGCTCAGCCGTGCCCTGTGGTGGCTGGTTGGATCCAGATGGATCCGGCCGGATCCGGCTGTGTCCGGCTGGGGCAGCCCCGGCCTCCCCTCACGGAGCTGCCGCTGCTGCCGGGGCCTGGACACCCACATCCTTGACAGCCTTATGCACAAGTTGTTTCTATAACACTACATTCCTACTTTCAGTTATTTCACTTTTCTCTGACGGCTCTTCTTCATCCTGAAGCTGATAAAGGGAAAAACTTGAGTGAATTTCCTCTCAGAAGCACCACAAAGCACTGAGGCCATGCAACCCTGAAAGACAAATGCAGCCCTTGGCTGGAGCAGAACTGTTCCCAGGGGAGGGAACGAGGTACTGGTGTAATACAAGATACTGAGAAGACTTTATATCAAATACTATGCACAACTCTAAGCTACCAACATGTAATAAAAAGGAATTCAAGTGGGAAAAGTGACAAACAAGAAGTATTAGGATGGCTGAGAAAACAAAAGAACAGATTGAGTTGTACTCATGAATATGCAAAAGAGTCTCCAGGGGTGAAAAATAATTATGTAAGATAAAAAGGTAGTGATGATACAAGAATAAATTACTTTAAATTAGAACAGACCTTCGGCTCTTTCAGCCTTGGGCAATGTATCGCTTAGCAATTTTGATGCCCTAAAAAGTTTTTAAACTTAGCCTCAACCAATGTCACAGTAATACTCAATATGATGCTGAGAGAAAAAGTAATACTTAAACCATCAGAAAAATCTACATATTCAATATGTAACCACAACGTGGTCAGCAGTATACAATGTAACAACCAGTTCCATCGACCTCATCCCAAAGCCTCCTAGCTTTTTTAAATTCTTAATGACTCCTTAGGAAAGAAGGCTGCTGCTGCTTTCCAGGATACACTTTCTTCCTGTAAATACGACCCACAAAACAAGATGAACAAGCTCTTGTCACATGCTATATGCCTACTCTATGCAAAGCTCCATGCAAAGTACTCTATGTACTTTTGTAGTCTGTCTGCATGGCTTTGTTTTTCAAGGTATCATAGTTATCACCTTGATTTACACTTAAAAGTTCCTGACAGAACTGCAAGGTTCAGAAATATAGGAAAGTCAACCCTCTACCTTCTACGAAATTAGTCCTTTCTCAGGTATATTTTGTCCCCTTCTTGTTGCAAGCCCCATGCTTAAACTTGAATGAGCACAACTTCAGTAACAAAATGCAGTATTTATCCAGTAAGCTGCTTTTAGTAGTAGAAGCAGCAAGGCAAGAGAAGGAAGTTGCAGATGTATGTATCAATATATAAATCCAAGCAAATACCTAGAGCTGCCAGAATCAATTACCAGTACTAAAACCTCACAATTCTTTACAGAGGACACAGTGATGAAAACACTGTCAGCTTATACAGCACACTAATGTGAGCCAAGAAGTCAAAGGAGCAGAGGCAGCTACAATCATACAAGGAAATAAAAATTTCAGATCAGAAGTAATGCATCTGACAAAGCTAGTATTAAATTTCCACTCTCTCTCTCCTTAGGTCATATTCCTAAGGACTCGGAAGCGACCCGAACTGTCTCTCAGAACACACAATAGCAGAAAGCAATGGCACAGCCAATTTCCTTGCTTTCTAATTTGTGGATGGGTGAGCAGACCCCTCTCCTTCCAAGCTTGGCCTGCCTGCCACCTTGAACTATGAATGAGGTCTGCTATGGCCTTGCAGGTTTGCTGTATCATCATCATTCCATCCCACTCACCAGTCTTCAACTTAGGGACAAGAGGAAGGCAAAATGTGCTGCAACATATTTGTCCCTGCTCTGTGGCACCACCACTAGCAGAACATGTTAATTAGGCAATCAGATGCACTGCATGAAATGTCTCCTCCAACACTGGAAACAGATCTGGGGGTTGACAACTACATCAGCAGGCATAGCTTACTTCATCAATGACCACTGCTTGCATTTTTTTTGTTCCAATTTAAGTAACAGTGGAATGAACAAGACCAAAAGACTGTAACTGCTGTATAACATTGTTGGCACAAGTCTGCTCCAATATTTTTTCTGAGAATATGTTTAACATTACCAAGTAAAATGTATTTATCTATTAATTGAAACACCTAAATAGCAAAACAATGACATTTAAATTCATTTTATAGATCATCTACCAAAAAAAAAACCAAAAAGAAAATTTTAAAAAGGGACTGTATTCATACAAACACTATTATACATTGTTTTTCTCATCCCAATCTGTACCCACACACATCTCACAGTTAGTAGAGCTGTACACATTAATGTCTTGCTTCTGCTTCAATTAGTCTTGGGGACTTCACTGCAGATGCAGCCAACCAGTTGCTTGCACTGTGCATTCTTATAATAATTAAAATGCCAGTAATGATGCTGTGTTCCTTTGACTCACTAATCTAAAAAGCATCAAGAATTAATTCCTGAAAAACATCCTGAAAGAAATGATCAGAACTGTATTTTACTATTTTGCAACAGGGTAAGTTTTTAGTCTTTATGTTTGTTGTTTTTGTTGTTTATTTATGGTAGCTTATACTAAACGATGAAGCATCATGTGGTACCAAATAAAGTGTCTTCACAGTCAGAGCCAAATGCAAAAATGGACCACACACTTCAAATACACAAGCCAGAACAGTCATTCCCAAGAGATGTTTTTTAACTGTTTTTAATACATACTTACTGATGGCACAGCTTCTAGTGTTCTAAACATGTTTGTGGGAGTAACACACGAAATGCTGGTGAAGGGACTTTGGTTTACAAGATTTTATAGCTATTTCCATGAATATGACATTATCTTTGTCAAGTTTAACATTTCAAAATAAATCACTTTAGTGCATGCACTGCAAAAACTGTTTAAGCTACAAATAGCAAGTAAAAAAAGAACAGGCATTATTTTAATTAGTAAATAAAACTCATGATAGACAGCTATTCAATAAAATACTTTTATTTATGTACAGTGTAAAGATGTTTTCCAACAAACGTTATATTGTACAAAAGCAGACTTGAGTTTGCTTAACAGTTTTAAATTCACTTTAAGGGAGAGTCTCCCTGAGATTAAAGGTTTCTTACAACTGCCTATCACATTAGTATTTAATGCATGTTTATCAGGAAAACACAAAAACACTCTGAAAGATTTGGACATGAATATTTAGTGGAAGATGGGCCTGACAGGATGTATTGAAAACTATTAGACAAAAACAATGCAGTAGTAATATGACTCCTCCAAGATCATGACCAGTACCACAAGTAAGAATAAAATTTTTTTTTAAATTGTGGGTTCCAAAACAATGCTAAGTTTTGGACAAAAACATTGGATAGAAATGGAGGCAAACACAAACTCTGATTTAGGAATGTTGTATGAAGACAGTAAGAACTAGATGACTGGATAAAGTGTCTCAGATCAGACATTTTTCTTTAAAAAAAAACCGAACCAAAACAACTGAACATCATTATTCCCACCACAGTTTGCTGGTTCTTGTTTGGGTTTTTTCTTGTTGAACAAGAAAGCGGTGCCAAGTCCCTAGCAATCACCCTGGCAAACAAGTAATTCACTCAAAATCATGTTATGCAAGTTTTCCAAATCCACAGCATCATACCCTGTGACTCAATCCAGCCACTACTGAAGCTGACTGAATTTTTCTACATGGGATTGTGAATGAGGCTATATAAGGTCCAACAAGACTGGGATTAATTTCATTTCAACAAAATTTACAAACAAGAGATGGCTACTCTACTTTTGGGCTGAAAAGGAGAACTTAGTTATAAGGGTAAATAAACACCAAAACCCTCCGTTCAAGAACTTTTTCAGACTTGTTTCAGAGCAATGTGACTTCCACAATAATAAACCAGCAAATCCTCCTAAAGGGAGAAGTCAATAGACAATGAAGAATCCCAGAAGTCTGGGATTGGAAGAGACTTTACAGATTATCCAGTTCCAACCTTCCTGCTGTAGGCAGGGGCACCTTCCACTACATCAGGTTGTTCAAAGCCCCATCCCACCTCGCCTTGAACACTTCCAGGGATAGGGTATCCACAACTTCTCTGGGAAGCCTGTTCCAGTGCCTCACCACCCTCATAAGGAACAATTTATTCCTAATATAATCTAGCTCTCCCCTCTTTTAGTTTAAAGCCATTATTCTTGTCCTATCACTACATGCCCATATAAAAGGTCCCTTAATACTCAAGTGTAAAAAAGAGGCTTTGTGTAACAGAACTGGTAACATAAACACTAAGCCATGAAGAAGATGAAGAAGAAAGGTCTGTATTTTTGTTGTGTTGTATTTCTAGCTGGACTGTAAAGTACTCCTAAACCAACAGAAATAAATTAAGTGCTGTTATTTGCTTTACTGCATAGCTTTCTTGATCTAGCAGGTCTACCAGTGTTTAGGTTAACAGGGGCTCTATATATTCACTACATAGTTAAGACATGCAAACCCTAACAGTCTTTTTGTGAAAAAACTCACACTAGGATGAAAACTAGAAAGACTGCATTATGATGATATAAACGTAATTTTAATGAAAGATTTAAAATTTAATTAATAAAGTTATACAAATTAATAATATAAAATATTAAACTTTATAGACATCTGATGCTATGACATAAATTCCCACCTGTCTTTTTTCAGTCTCATTTCATTACTAACCCCCCCACCCCTGCATATTTTTTTTTTAGCACACAGGAGCTTCACATTCTTTGGCCAGCCACTGTAAGAATTACACACTCATCCCAAATTTTTTCTGATGTTTCCATTTTCTGTTAGGATTCTTCAGAATTCTGTAGCTGGTATTTCAACAATTATTACCTTGTTTTATCGAATCTAAACCTTCAAGTTTTAAGCTTCATAGTGTACACCATCATTCTGATACCTGATGATTTCTTCTCTGCTTTTCTCCCCAGAACTCCTGCAAGTGAGGTTTGGACTCTGCAAGATATGCATTCAGATCATATTTTCTGGTTCCATAGCAAGGGAATTCATCCCTCTGGTTTCTTCCAAAGTACTTTTAACATTACTCTCCCACATACAACTCCTCAAAACAGGTACACTATTTCAAACTTTTGAGAACCCTTTTTACTATAGGATGGTGCCCAGGCAGACAACACTGCAACTTCATTCTGCCCAGCTTAGAAATAAGAAGGTAGCTTCAAATTTAGATTTTGTCTATTAAATAGCAGCACAATAACAGACAGAGTTACCGTGTAAAATTACTGTAACCCTCTCAGCCTGGTTGTGAATGGGCAATTTCAGTTCACTCACCACTTCACCATTAACAACAGGATCTGGCTATCTATTTGTGACCTGAAGTAAGAAGCTTCCTCCCCATTACAGAACAGCAATTCAACTCTGTGGTCACATCCAGTGAATTATGGAACACAGCAACCCAACTACTCCATTCACTCAGAACAAATCAAAGACATTCTCACCAAAAATTAATAAAATTGAGCTGTTTACACCAAAGAGTGCTTCCCTCAGTCATTTTAAAAAATATGCTCCACCACAGATCAGTCCACAAAGTCTCTAATTCATGGCTTAATCTAAAATTCTTCACAGCTTGGGCTCGCCCAGTCTTAATGCTTTGGGAAATAAATCTGTGTAGCAGTCATGTCACACAGAGTTCCAATTAACCATTTTTTAAAAAATTCATTTGTTCCAAGCACCAAAAATAATACCCTGTCATTCTCCTGCCACTAGGCGTCACTCTCTTCTGTTGTGATCTTTATCCCTCCATCCACTTCCCAACATTTCACCCAGGAACCATCAAACCAATATTAGTGGGAGAATATCCATCACCATTACTCCCTATCTAAAGAGCAACCCAGTTTCTCAGGTCAAGGAAAGGTTTTTGTCATGTGGCAGATAAAGTGCAAAGGACTCTTAGTGTCTCATGGTATGCTCTTTAAAGTTAAATAAAAATATTAAAACAATCAAATTCCTACAAGAGGTGATATGGGCTTTCCTCCATAGAGAAGTCACCTTGGATTCTGAAACCATCTAAAAAAAACCTAAGTGCATTCACAAAAATAAGAGGAGCCATAGCAGAAGTACTAGAGGAACTAATTACATGATCCTTCATGTGGGACTTACAAACAAAGTAATTTTACTTATCATGCAGCGTTTTTTTCAAGGATGATACAGAGTCACCTTCTGGTGTTGCCACTTGTACTTCATTGGTTTCAAGTCCAGAAGGGGCCACTATGATGACCTACCAGACCACTCATATGGATCTCCACATGCATGGTTTTGAAGGGTATGAGTTCCTTCCATACTGAGGGCAACCTGAAAACTACAGCTTTGACAGCAAACTCTCAAACAATTATTTTCCTGCTCGAAGTGCACTTAAAAAAAGAAAAAAAAAAAAACAAATACCCAAAAAACCCCAAACCCACAAACCAACCAGCAACAAAACCCAAATGCGGGCCATGACTGCATTCTACCTGAATACTGACCAGTTCTGCCACTTGGAATGATTCACTGGCACACAGGAATTAGGTACCCATGCATACCTAACTTGGATCATAATTGATCTTAATAAACAATTTAACATATTTTTCAGTATCAGTATCTCCATCATATGTGAAACAGGATTCAAGTTAAACTTGATTCACGCTGAGCTTAATAAATGATTTACTGTAAAGCTACTTTGAAGTATTGGGGGAAAAAACATGCCATTAGGGAGCATATCACTGCTAAATTATGAAATACTGTCCAACGTGACAAATTATTGGTGTAATTCATAATGAGGATTGAAGTTCTTATATGTATGTACATAAGAAACATAAACAATGCTTTTCAATACTTGTGATGCATAGAGTACTACCAGCAAGGAGTCACTGTATCAATGAGCTTCTTGCAAAATCTTCTAGTTCACGTGCAAAGAATGAGTTTGCATTGTATTCTTCTGATACCCTGCCGGGAAACTTTTTGTTTCAGTGCTATATCCTCTTCTTTTGATGTGTTTCACCATTTAATTTTCCATTTTCCACTGCTTTATTTTCAAAGTTCCAGTCAGTTGGGTTGAGGAGTTGCTGAGTTTTTTTGTATGTCCAGTATGGGTTAAGTATTAGTGTAACAGCAAATAATCCCGAGAATAAAACAATAAAGTGAAGTAGTCCCAGATTTTCTACAATAGAATTCCAGTTGAAAATACACACCCACCACATGTGGTAGGTAAGAATCATGCGGCAGTGAAACAGATGGATCATCACCCACTGGTTTGCCTTCCAGAAAAAGGTGTTAGCACAGCCAGCCTAGAAAAATAAGAACACAAAGTTTGCAGAAGTGAGATTGCTACTTCAAGATAAGGAACTGAAGAATTTGTAGAACTAATGCCAATATCCAGCCTTCATATACACACACTCTCAGGCATGTTTTCCTCACAGTGCATGCAATGTTACTCCACAATGTTACTCCAATACGGCATCCCAAACTTGGTATGGATCTACACCGTCCCACTGTGCACTTACACACAGCACCACACTACTTGGAGGCCTGCACAAGTGCCATCATGACAAAAGCAGGTATGACAATAACACAGGTATCAGCTGGATAAATGCAGTTTTGATGAAAAACTATCCAAACAAACTACAGAGATTATCTATGCACAAGTGAAATGCATGAATACTGTTACAAACATAATCTCAAAATTATCACATTCTTACCTTCAGAAGCATCCACGAAATGCATGTTGAGGGAGTACTCATCTCCAGCAACATTCCCATCAAAGGCAGATAATGTCCAGATTTCACATTAATTACTAAACCAGCCAAGCCACCAAAAGCAAGCAAATGATGAATTACCAAGAAAACATCAAATGTTCTAAAAATAATGTTGGACACATGAACTGCTACATTTTCAAGTAAGAAAAATCCAGCTGCTATTAAACAGTTAAACCAACTCCACTTTTGCTGTGAATAGACTTTGTCAGCATGAAAAACGGGATCTATGAGCAAAGCCCATAACCCAGCAACACAACTCTGAAGTCCAAACACACCACGTGTGACTGCCATATTCCAAAACACCTTCTCCTTTGCATACAAGGCACGGTAAGTGGTACTTCTCCAAGAAGACAACCAGTGAGACAGAAGAAATACTCCCAAGTAGATTAAAAAACCAGCAGCTAAAAATGTCAAACGAATTTCCCATAAGAGATAGTCCCAGTCAAAAATGGTCCCAAACACCGGATCATCATTTGTAGGATTCATTTCTTCTCTTTTGACACTTTTCATCCCCACTACAGTCTCCTCCATGCCTATTTAGCCTCTGCTATTATGCAAACCAGTAAGCATGAACTCTTCCATCTGGAACAAGGAGAAAAAAATTTAGTGAATTTTTAAGTATTTCCACACATATAGATTCTAAACCATAGAGGGCTCACATCCACTGCAGTTATGACTTTGGTCCTGTTGACATTAGCCACAATCATCCCAAAGACAGGTACACAGTAAAAAAAAACTTAAACAACAGGATTTACAACAGTCCTGTGAAGTCCCTACTAGTACAAAGTAATGCACTGATACAAAAACAGAAGAGGGTCAAGTATGAAGGCAAGAAAGGGGAAGAGAAAATACAAGAAGCAAATCCTGTTTTGTTACTCATGCAACTTTTATTTCAACAGCACTGCCCAGTTATTATCCTACTCCCCTGCTTTTCCCGCATTTGCTACAGCTTTGGGTGCAATTCAGAATCTCAAACACAGATCCAGGACATAAAACTACAGGAAACTAATGCAAAACTTACACCAAAAAGGGGCTGGCAGTGATCATGGTTCAAAACAAGACTCTGCAATCAGTTTCTGACCATTAAGCCGCTTAAAAAAAAAAAAAATCAAAAATGGATAAAGAGTGTGGAATGCAGACAAGCAACATTATTACATATTATTGGCAACATCAGTCTAATTAGCTGAATAGCCCAGCATTAAGTGCCTCGAGTTGTCCGAAACTTCCTGAACACACTGTAGTCCAAAAACAAAGGCTTGTGGGGAGGGATAAGTCAGATAACACTGAAATTTTTCCAACTCCAGCTCGTCTTACGAACCATATAGGTGATATAAGCACGACCACCACACCCGCCGCAACCTGTGAATGCTTAACATCCATCACTGTGCGTTTGGGAGTCGAGTGAACGCAAGTGAAAAGGCCACCAAGCCCACCGAGGGCAGAGCGCCCGGCGAGGAGCTCCCTCCCGCCTTGCTTCAGCAGGCAGCAAATGCCACCGCTGCTCCCCGTGGTGGAAGCCGTGGGGCACCCACTCGCCCTGCCCTTTGCTCGCAAGTGCCCCGCTCCAAGGCGGGGGACGGACCGGGAGCCCCGAAGGCCCTTCGCCCACTCCACGGCATTACACCTGGCAAGACTGACTGGAAGTCCCAGCTACCCTCCGCCCTCATCTCTCCGAGGAAAACCAGGGCAAAATACAGCAATCCCACGGCACGACCAGGCCCTGAACAGCACGACCCACTAACCGCAAGCCCTGGCTCTAACAGTGCCGCGACAGCCCCTCCGCCCCCGCACAGACACGGCACCGATATCTCCAGCAACCCTCCCCCGCCCCCGGGGCCGCCGATCCCCGCACGCACACCGGCCCCGACGCACAAATCCCGCTCCTCACCCACAGCGCTGCCCGCAATGGCGGGACGGCCCTTCCCGGCTGCGGGACTGCCCTCCCCGGTCCCCCAGGAGCGTCCGGCCCGGCCTGGCCCGGCCCAGCCCGCCTGGGGAAGCCCCGGCTCGACCCTGCGGTCCCACAGCACCGCCCGCAGCCGCCGAGCGCCCTGTGCGCATGCGCCGCCGTCAGCACCAACCACAGGGCGCCGTGGGATGGGGGGAGGGAGGCGCGGCTGTACCACGCGGGCGGGGGGAGCCTTGTTTACAAGGTGCCTTTCTGTGCCTGTGCGCAGCGCTGGGCATCGCTGCTGCTGAGAGGATAACACTCGAGAGGTGCCTGCTCAGCGAGACTGATAGCAAAAAAGAAATATCAGTGGTGGCATAGCCAGTACATTTAGCTGTAATTATCCCGTTTCATTAAAGACAGCACGTTATTAAATGGATGTCACGATGTTCTGGTACATGATTCTCTTCGTATATGACAATTGATGTTGTCATCCCAGTGACTCAGGCTGACTCTCCCGAGGTTACTGAAACTACCCCGGGAGGCTTCCTCGGCTGTGTGACAGTCCCGCACCCGCGGTGTATTTGGTCTTCAATAGGAGTGACTGGCAGGGACTCTGAATTTTGCCTGGGAAACTCTCAGTCCCACAACAGATCAAGTGATTCCTCAAAAAGAGCGACCAAAAAAAACCAAATAAAACCAAGCCACAACTTCTGTCACATGGAAGATTGGCCTAGAGCAGCTGAAATCCTAACCTGAGTCTACCTATGATGAGAGACCAGAGCTGGAAAATCTGCAATGACAGTCTGACAGGTTCTTTATTTCCAGACGGGGAGAGGGAAGTGCTGCCATTCCCTGTGGAAAACTGGGTCCTGACACCATAACAGAATAACTGGTCAGCAGGGGTTTTGTGCATTTGCTTTTAATTGCTAATGTGATACCAGGGTCTGTGGCAGACCCATGAGTGTGGGGTTAAAACTCCAGTACTCTAGGCACTAGCTTGTCAGGTTGTCTTCTTTAAGGAGCCAAGCAGCTAATAGTTGCTATAAAGTTGTTTATTGCAGAAGCACATCAGTCTCAAAGCAAAAGTCACAGATGCTAAAGTTCATGCTAAGTTTTGGTATAGAGTCCCAAATAGAAGCAGAAGCTGCTGCTAGAGGTCCCAACAGGGCCAGTGAAGCTGCAGCTCCTATTTTCTTCTTGGGTGTTGATGATGGTGGCAAGGGAGCAGGAACAAAAGCAAATGGCTAAAGCAAATGGCAAAAAGCACCAGCTCTCCCTAATGCATATTCTTATATAGAAACTTCCCAACAAGCTAAGACACAAACTCAGATCGCTACTTCTTAACCTATTAGAATTCTAGTTTCTTAGCACGCCAGGTTACATATAAACTACGCATATGGTCTATTTTGTTCTATCTGAAAAATGTAAGCAATATTCTTAATACAGTTTTATTATGTCTAAAACTATGTTCCTGGAGTCTCCACGGATACACCAGTATCTAAGACTATGTTTTTCAACCTTCACTAGAACTCGCACTTCTACTCTGGCATCTAAGACCTTTTTCTCACTAAACGTACTTAAAATTGATTTTACTTACTTATTTGCTTGCTTATATTAAAACTTAAACTTACACCTCTACTTTATGTGTGAGTGGCTTAACATACTTCAATCCATCCAAAGGTTTTAATTAAATCCCTGCACTCTGATTTCTCTCTGAAGAATTCAGGGAGATTCCTGGCTTACTGACTCCAACACATGAGTTCTGTGAAAAGTAAGATCTGTTCGTATGCCACCTCAGTAGTTTACATACAGGCAGCCAGAAACACCTGTTTCTTGGGAAAGTCTATTGACAAAACCTACCTCTTAATGTGCTGGGTTTGAGGCACCTTTGCTCTGAGCTCCTCTGCAGACAGCCCAAAGGGACATCAGGGCTCAGTGTCTACACACCCAGACACTACCTGTGTGCCACTGAGCTGAGTCACAGGTGGTGCACACCTGCCACTTCCCTACCAGTAACCTCAGGAGGACCAGGAGGACCAGGCTCAGCAGTAAATGCTGGGCAAAAAATTTCGGCCAAAATACTGATTTTGTACGGCAGGCACAACTGAGTGACAGGGATCCTAACGACAAGTTCTGGCAAATTGGTCTTGTAGACAGGAGGATTCATTTTTTCACAAAAGGGAGAGTAAATTTGTTGCAAAGCACTTGGGTTAGAGCCATTTACTAACACTGAAGGGGAAAACAGACCACAGGGCCTGAGAGATGTGAAGTGAAAAATCTGGAGGAGTTCTCACTTGAAAAGTAATTCCTAGCTGATGGTAGATATTCATTTATCAATCCCTGTTTTCTAGGAGGTGCTGTCCTGGGAAACCTGAAAGGATGATAAAGCTGATCAAGCAAAATCTGGGAAGAAGTTGGAGGAAGTTGCTCTCTCAAGCAACATAATGGGACTTATCTACCAAGGGCATGTGTTTTTAGCTTTCCCCAATTTTATTCTTTGCCAACCTGTCTTTAAATAATTCCTTTAAGTTGTCAAGGAAGGAGATTTTTTTATTTACATTTAAAGAACTGTGACCATGATGTCAAAAGCAAGATCACTGTCTGTTGTCTTTCTTATGGACTTTCTTTGTCTTTGCTGCCTTTCTTGCCTTCTCAAAGCAGTATCACATTTTTTAGTTACTGGCAGCCATAGCCATGTTGAAATAGTTCAGTGCTACTTTCTGAATCTTCTACTGATACTACAACCATACTTAGTAACAGCATTTTCATAGGCGTTTCATTATGATCACCTCAGGTGTTTCAAAGTAGTTCTTCCTGTAGTGCAGCTCATCTTCCACATTATGCCATGTTCAGTTCTCCCTTTTACAGACATTCTGTCTGACTGCTAGAGCATGCCCTATCCAAAGCTAAATTTCCTATCTGGACTGTCTCAATTTTTCTCAGCATCTTCAGAATATCATGACTGGAAGAGAAAGAGCACCTCTTGGCAGGGATCCATGTATATATGTAATAAAATATATGTATGTATGTCTACATGCATATATCCTCCACCATATGGGGGCTGCCTTTTGCTTTGAAACAAGTGGTTGCATCTCTGCTATGAATTGAAAATTATTTCAGGATACACTGTTCCCAAAATATATGTATGTTACGTACATGTAACATACATATATGTATGTATGTTGGCTTCAGAAGGTAATTTTGACCATACTGCTGCTTCAAACGGACCCACGCCCAATTTCCAGGAACTCTTTAGACAAGTACCAGTTAGTTCAGTGAACCTGAATACCTTAGTGTCATAGCAATAATTAAAAACTGCCTGTAGTAACAAATCAGTAGCTCCTTTGTTTTATTTATAAATACACAGATACATAAGGATAGTTTAAAATGTCATTAGTTTTAAAACTTTTGTTTTCATTATTCTGCAAACCAAAATGCCATGATCCCAAGACCTTTTCCTGCTCCCTGTGGTTCCAGAGGCAGACTAGTTCCCTCTTGGTGGTGTGAGAGCATTAAAAGGTTGACTTAGGAGATGAGTATGGGGGACACAAAGCCAACCAGGGACACCGTCAGTGAGAGGGAAGCCTACTGTTTGCAGAGACTGAAGGATGACTACAGTAGGATTTTGTGTGTATGTGGTGGGAATACAGAATACAGCTAACTTGTGTTTCCATTGCCATTCGCAGTGAGTTGAGTAATGTGTTTTAGGACCAAGTTGAGAAAGGAGTTTCAAACCTACTATCAAATTAATCCATCCATTGCAGAAAACTGTTTGTCCTGTAAACATTTGCCTTGGACATGTAGTGGCAGAAAAGTTCACAATAAGCCACTCTGTGGCAACAGAGAGGATTTTTCTCTCTGCAGGACACATGGCATGGTGGGGCCAGAAGTTATCTGTTGCAAAAGAAAAGGGATGGAGACTGGAAGAAAGCCTACCTGATGAGGCTATTCCCTGATAATTTTATAGCTCTTTGTCATCCTCTAAGTAGAATATGAAGGAACTCAAGTTACTGCCTAAGGTTATTTTCATTCATTTTTTAATTCCAGTGTACCAAACACTTGTAGTCAGTGTATGTTGAACTAAGTCACATAAATAAAACCTGAGCTGGGAATCTTCCTAATAGAGGATAACAAGTCTACTTCTAATTCAAAAGCAAAGAACTCACTGACTTCTCAAAAGGTTTTAGCCCTCTGCTCCCAAAGTTTTGAAAAGCTTGCATGTTTATAGACATTGATTCATACATATATGCACAATTTAGGTTGACCTGTCACGTAGTCCTGTATTTCAGTGACATGCTTCTTGAATTCTCTTTTTAAACCGAAATTTACACCTTCTCCAACTACTAATCTACAATCTGAGTTCAAATCTATGGGAGCTTTACTGCTAATTGTGAGAGCTTTGGTTCAAGTGGGAGGCTTACTTCATGCCTGCCTCAAGGAATACTGTGGCAATTCCAAATGTGTAATCTTGGGTTTTTTTCAATGGTTTACACACTCTCAAAGTTCTTCTGATTCTTGTCCAACAAGTACTTATGCAGTATTCCTAGATGCAAATCACAATTGTTAAAATGAGCACTTTGAACATGCTTGTTTAAGGCCTTTTTCCTCTTAGCTAATAGGAACTATACTTGACTTTTAGAAAACCTGTATTACAAGGCTTTCATGTGTGCCATGGTTTCAGAATGTCTTTACATTGCATAATATTCATCTACCTAGACTGCTATGCTTTCCTTAGTACTGGGAGATCTGCACAAATTCTTTTTGTATTTCACTTATAGTCAATTTTAAATAAATTAATCTATTCCTTATGCTTCAGAACAGATAGTGAAAATAGTTCCCTTGAAACACTTGATATTTCAAAATTTTAAACAATTCGGATTTTCTGAGCATCCACACTTTGAGCTACCAGCTATGGAGAAGATTACAGCAATGAAACCATTGGTTTCTGCCTGCTTGAATCTTTCCACATAATGGAAGTGATAATGATCACAGAAAAACTGGAGATTCTTTACTCAGTCCCTCTCAAGGTTATTTCCCATTTCTGTTTGTGAACTTCC